TGGGATTAAAGGCGTGTGCCACTACCACCTGGCTAACGCTGTGAATTTTCTTAGGTCTGTCCTTAATCAGCAAACTGTTCTCATTATAATGAGAATAATAATTAAAATTATAATTGTTGATGTATAAATGCAGTTATTATAACCAGTTAATTTTTAGTGTTACTTCATACTAGTCAGTCTCCTGAAAGATTGATGTGTGTATCATGGAGGCACACAGCCCCAGATCCCCTTGGGGAAATGTCATTGTCCCCACTTTTTCGAGAAACATCTAAGGTGCAGATGTGCCCTAGGCACATGCCTGAATGGATGAAGTAGTTTTGGTCTGAAATGTCATCACCATACTCAGTTGACATCCATGGTAGACAGAGGCAGAAACAGCAAATATAACAAGCTCTGATTAGACAGAACTTCTCCTTCATACCTCAAGGCTTGCCTCCTCCTCCTCTTCTCCCTCATCCTCCTCCCTCTCCTTCACATAATCTCTGTTGTGGGCTTTTTGGAAGTCAACCATCATGCATTCCTAGGTTTTCATTCATCAGTCCTTGCAAGGTTTCATAACCCCAAGAAAGCCCGGTGCTTTATTGCCGTCACAGTGAACACGTCAACCCTATGATTTGGCCAATGTCCTGCTTCTCTGCTAAAGCTCCTCTGGAAGAGGGTCATTCCCTCACCGTCACATCCATGGCACCTTGCATCTCATGGGAACCTGGCAGGTGATCAATAAGTTATTGTTTTGGAGTCAGTGGACCTGAGCTCATGAATAGAGGAGCAAGAGAAGTGAGGGTTGGTCCACGCTTGTGACTTCTGGCTTCCCTCCAAGCAGCATGGCATTCAGTTACTGTACCAGTTGACAGTAAGTTTTGCTTCAGGCAACAGAAAACTCAACTACATGGGCTTAAACATGGGTTATCAATTTCCCTCACAGTATAGCAATCCCAGGTCACTGTGTAGGGGCTGATTTAACTGCTGGCAAGAGTCATCTAGGTACTGGCTTCTCTTCCTGGAAGTTGGGCAGTAGGAGAAGCTTGTGAAGTTGAAAATTCATCCCAGTAGTTGTACTTTCTCGTGTTTCAATAAGGAGCCATGTATAAGACTCATAAACCTTTCAATGAGTGTGGAGTTCTAATTGCATTTATAATACATGTGTGGGGGCTAGAGACATGGCTCAGCAGTTAAGAGTACTACCCGCTGAACTTCCAGAGAACTGGGTTCAATTATCACACCCATATGATAGCTCACAACCGTCTATAACTCTAACACCAATGCTCTTCTGGCCTCTGGGGGCACTGCACATGCATGGTGCATCTACAGACATGCAGGCAAACACACTCGGAACACATGAAATAAAACATTGGAAAAATCTTTTCAAAACCAAAGAATCCCATCTCCTCTTGGGGAAGCAGTTCTTTGTTTAACAATATATAATATTTGAGGAGGGGGGTAGGTGGGAATAAATCCTGTTGGACTTTCCTGCTGTGACTGCCTTTTTTTGAAATCTGAGACACAGAAGGCTGGTTGAACATTGTATGCCCTAGGGACAGTTGACAAGTGTTACCACAGGGTGAACTGGCTGTCATTTCAGTAGGGAGAAACTCTCCTCTCCAGTGTCAGTATTTGTAGTTTTTTTTTTTTTTCATACATTCCCAGGGAGAAAGGTTCTGGTCTCTGGGTAGGGAGTTTTCAGACGAGTAGTACTTCAGTCAGTTAAGACATTAGAGCTAATGAACCTCTGTGTTTCTCATCCCTATTCCTGTGCCCAGTGTCGTGCTGAGTAGGGTGCAAGAGGGGACTCCCAGAAAGGGAAGAAGGATTTTTAATGCATTTTTTAAAAGCCAATTTTCCAATTTTGTTGTATTCCATTCCCTTTTCCCTCCTACCTGGTACCTCTGACTCCTGAGCATTTGGTCGTGGGGAAGGGGAATGTTTTAGAGTCCAGATGGATTTACTTCATGTTTGCAGTCTAGGTGTAGCCTTTTCTGTCTGTGATCTGCAGTCTTGTGGCTATTGCCTGTCTTGTTCTGTATTTATCAGCTTTTCTTCCATGTGTTATAAAATGCCTGAGTTAATCATCTCAAGAGGATAGGCTAATTTGATTCACAGTTCAATGGTTGCATCCCTGGTTGATCAGCTGTTATGAGCACTATTTCCCGCCAACCTGGTCCCACAGGTGCATCAGCCCCAGATAAGCACACGGATGCTATATTAATTCTGAAACTGTTGGCCAATGGCTTGGGCTTCTTATTGGCTAGCTCCATTGTAATTATTAACCCATAACTACTAATATATGTATCTTACCAGAGAATGCCTGGCTATGTCCTGTCTTCCCGGGATCACATCACAACTCCTATCTGCCTACACTTCCCAGAATCCTCTTCCTCTGGTAGCCACACCTATCCTTCCTGCCTGGCCACTAGCCACACAGTGTTTTATTCACCAACCAATAAGAGAAACAGTCGGCCTGTTTCATTGGACCTTTGCTGAAGTAATGTGTTGTGGAGGCAATAGTGGGACAAACTGTTGCTAAGAACACAAAGGGGGAAGTGACTAAAGTCTGCCAGCCTCCTTCGTGGGGACTCCTGAAGTGACCCGAGTCCTGGTACAAACTTTCTGAAAGTTTGTACCCTCCCCTCATTGCTCTGCCTCAGGTACCAGGACTGTTACACTTGGGCCTTTGGAGGACATTGAAATCCACCAGTTGGTGTGTTTGTATGTGTCCACGTGTGTATTGCTTTTCAAAGTGGCATCCTTTATAATTGACTCCAAGTTAAAATGACTTAAAAGCATGCAACAGTAGAATGTGTAAGTAAATTGTAGCATAGGCATGGCTGATATATAACAACAAATGTTGAACAGCAAGGAAATAAATAGTATGTAGTGTGTTCCATGAATAGTCACAGATATTTCAGATAGTTCATAGAAGTATTAAAAATTCATAAAAATGAATGCTATGGAATCTTTTTAATTTTTAAATATGTTTTTAATTAAAATAGAATTACATCATTTCCCCCTTTCTTTTCTCCAGCCCCTCCCAGTTGACCTCCCTCAAACTCCTTTCATGCCTCCCACTTTCAAGTTGATAGCCTCGTTTTATTTGATTATTATTTTATATGTGTGTATGTATGCATGTACATGCACAACAAATTATACATACATACATACATACATACATACATACATACATACATACATATCCTGCCAAGTCCATTTTTAATGGTGGTGTACATACCATTTCATACAACCAATAAGGGGCTCATCCTTAAGATAGGCTAATTTTCATTCTCCCAGAAGTCACAGGTTGCCTGTAGTTTGTTGTCTAGAGTGGGACCCTGCAAAATGTCGCCCCTCCAGTGTTGACATGTGTAACGAGAGGTTTTTTGTCCCAGCCGGTCCTTCGGCCCCTGAGAGCCAACACACAAAACTTATATTAATTACACAAATGTTGGCCGGTAGCTTGGGCTTCTTATTGGCTAGCTCTGTCTTAACTATAACCCATTTCTATTAATCTATGTATTTCCGTGTGCTCTTGGCTTACCAGAGAACGCCTTGCACATCCTCTCTTCTTGGGCTCTACATGATGACTCCAGTCTGCCTATACTTCCCAGAATTCTCCTCCTTTGGTAGCCACACCTATCCTTCCTGCCTGGCCACTAGCCATACAGTGTTTTATTCATCAACCAATAAGAGAAATATATATACAGTAGGACTTCCCCCATCAGACATGTCCATTGATATTGCCATTGTACTAGCCCTGTTTATGTAGCCATTTCTAGAAGAGACTGGTTCATAGCAGACTTCCTGATACGCTGCTCTTACAATCTTTCTGCCCTTTCTTCCTGGATGTCTCCTAAGCCATAGATGCAGGAGCTGTGCATATCCATTGAGTTGAACTCCCCACAATCTGTTATCTCTACCCTATATCCAGTTGTAGTTTTCTGTGATGGTCTCCAGTCACTGTAGAGAGAGGCGCATCTTTGATGAGATATGGTAGTTACAATTACCTGTGATATAAAGATGAAATTTAGAATGTAGTAAGGGACCATGCTGTTCTAGCAGTGGCCGTGTGGATTCTTTTCTAAGGTCCAAGACCTCACTATCCCCTGGAAGCTGGCTAGGTTTTTCTCCTGTTGATATAAAGCAAGAAATGAAATCCACCAACTCTGATAGATATTACAAACATTACATTGAAAGAAAAATCACAAGACTTGGTATGACTCCAGTTATAGCAAACTCAGTCAAAAACTAAAAACCATACGATGAGAAGCTTCGTGCATAGGTGGTCCAGAAAGGGCTAGAGACACCTGCTCAGGGTCTTGGGGAGTGAGAAGGGAGCTGTGACCAGGAAGGGACATTCAGAGACATTCCTGGATACCAGCAATCCCTACTTCTCCACCCCGTGATAATTACACAAGCATGTCAAAGCGTCTTTAAACATTGTGAGAGATGTAGACTGCATTTTGCATATATTTTGCTTTTAACTAATACTAATGGGTTTTGTTTGTTTTTTGTTTTGGTTTGTTTTTGAGACAAGGTCTCACTGTGTAGCCCTGGATGTCCTGTAACTCAATTTGTAGACCAGATTGGCCTCAGACTCACAGATATTCACCTACTTCTGCCTTCTGAGTGCTGGGTTTAAAAGCCTGCACCACCATGCCCGGTTGTAATTTATTTTTTTCTTGCCTTTTTCCTTTTCTGTCTGCTGTCATTTCAGTGGAGAGGGAGTGAGGGAATGATTCATGGTCTCAGGCTCTTACATGTATCTGGAACTCGAGCATATACTTCTATTAAAGGAGAATTTTACATATATCTGAAATCTGTGAAATTTTAAGGTAATTAAACATGTATTTCCTAGCCAGTTCTTTCACATAGGAATGAGAAGCAAATTAAAATTCCTGACCAAGAGTCCTTTCCCAAAAAATATTAAAACCACAGATTTGTTTAAATGAGACCTTAATTTTTTTTTTTAAAGAACATGTATCTTTTTGATTTTTAGATTGTCAGCCATGCCTTTAGTGAAGAGGAACATCGAACCCCGGCACCTGTGCCGTGGTGCTCTGCCAGAAGGAATCACCAGTGAGCTTGAATGTGTAACCAATAGTACCCTCGCCGCAATCATCCGCCAGCTAAGCAGTCTGAGTAAGTCCCTGCTTTCTCCCCTGGTTATTGGTGTGTTTTACAGACTTCACACTATCCCATGGGTTTTGACTCAAGAGTGGCAGCTGTAAGGAAAGGAATCCTCCTCCATCTGCCATGGCAGTGCCTGTGTCTGCCCTGGGCTCCTGAAGCCTGGCTCTACATTTAAAGTTGTCATGATGAAAATATGAGCTTGCTCATCATTAGAGAGAACCAAATGTGTAGACTTCACATCTTCAGTGTTAATTTTTAATACCTTTTAAGATGAATTTGATTGTGGATTAAATTTTTTTCTTTAATGAACTGTCTTACTAAATTGACACAACCTAGGTTTTTTTTTTTTAACCTGTTTAGCATCACAGTGTAACAGTATGCTGTTGGTATTCAACAGATATCTTCCCAATTCCAAATAGGAAATAAACAGGTATGCTGATTATTGCATACATATTACATATGTTAGACATACATGCCATTGATTGATAGTGGATATACCTTAAGGAAGGAAAGAGTCCATTATTCTGTCAGTGAAGATTAATATTAAATACCCAAAGGATATTCTTTTGGGGACTCAGCTATGCATGAAAGCCTTTTTTTTCAAAGCTTTCTGAAATTGTACTATTTTTTCCCACTTTGATTTTCCCGTCCTGACCTTCTTTTCTCACTTCGTCTCCACTCCTTTTCAGTGGTGACAGATTTTCACACTTAAAATTTGTAGGCACTGGTAATAGCTGGAAAATCTTCATGAAATTCTATATTCTGGTAGCCTTAAGCACAGAAGGTAGGGGTGTGTGTGTGTATGTGTGTGTGTGTGTGTGTGTGTGTGTGAGAGAGAGAGAGAGAGAGAGAGAGAGAGAGAGAGAGAGAGAGAGAGAGAGAGACAGACAGAGACAGAGAGACAGAGAGAGAGAGACAGAGACAGACAGAGAGACAGAGACAGACACAGAGAGAGAGAGAGAGACAGAGACAGACAGAGAGACAGAGACAGACACAGAGAGAGAGAGAGAGACAGAGACACAGACACAGACAGAGAGACACAGACAGACAGAGACACACACAGAGACTCAAGAGCTTTAATCTATTTGTTTTGGAAAAGAACAACTACAGGTAACTATTTCTTTATAAGAGTTATATTTGGTACTTATGTTTTTAATGAGATTTGTAAATTAAGGAAAACGTAACTTGGAATTTAATTAACATGTATTTTGGAGTGGATATCCTCATGAATCTAAACTAATTACAACTGACTTTGAGGTAGTAGTTATTCATAGAATACATACATTTATATAGTTACAGAAAAAAATCCCTTACAATTTACTGATAAACACATGATTCTATTTGCTTTTGTATGTTTTTTCAAGTTCACTTTCTTGTTTGTAGCTAGACTGTCTGCTGACGTAAAGTTGAAGTAACAGAAACTGACTTAAACTTAGAATTTAATAACAAGGCTACCCCTTGAACTGTGGTGTTCAGCAGGATGTTATATTAATCAGGCTTATTCTGCCTGTTTTCACAGTCTCATGTAACTGGTTTTCAGCCCTTTCGATATGTACTCCCCAAATCCCCTCCAGATGTAGCCATGTTCCTGTGCTTGAAACCTGTAGATGTGTTAGTTACACACAAGGGAACATTCAGAAAGCAGCTGGGCCCAGGAAATCACAGATTGTGGGATTCCTTTAAATGTGGATGGGGACAGTAAAAAAATTGGTGTCGAACTGTTTCCTATCAGAATGACTTAGCAACTACTGCTGCCTTTGGAGGTGGAGGACAGGCAGTCCTTAAAAGCTAAAGCAGGGGAATGGTCCTGTTGAGAGCTTCCAAAAGAACATAGCCTTGCTAATATCTTGACTATAATATAGTGCAGACCAAGTCCATTCTAGATGTCAGTCCTCCAGGTAGAGGATAATGAGTGTAGTTCATTGTGAATCCTACACCCACAATAGAAACCCATCTGTTATTCTGCTGTGGATTTTGTTGTATTGCACATGATCATACACAGACTTGGCATTGCTATACACCACTGATCATCTGTGGCCTTGTGACTGGACCAGCAATGGGTACCTGCCTCTCAAGGACACAAGCTTCCAGGAAGCATCCCACGGGTATTGATTGGAATATGGAGCAGAGATGCCAGCCACCAATTACAGAATTGCAGACCTGTGTGTCTGCATTTAAAAGACAATCTAGGGTAATCAATTCATTTTAGGAAGCTTGAATTAAGAAATGCAGTGACTTATAGGACCTGTTGTTAAAATGTCATCCCACAATAGGGAGCCATGATGACCACCAGGGAAACCCAATTTGTAGAGGAGACAGATCTGAGAAGAGAGACGCAGTCAGTGGAGTCTGTATCTCTTGATAGGTCCATAACTCCCCAAACTGCACCACCAACAGGGGACCAAGTGAGCAAGTAGCTGAGCCTGTGGGGGACATTCCTCCTTCAGACCAGCACATTTATAATACATGTCAACCTTGTTCTCTGCAACATATTCTGTTGGGTTGCATTGAATGTGCCCCCACTGTGCTTCAGTCTTTGGAGAGTCTTTCCTCGAAGGGATTTATTGGTGACTGAGTTCCAAGTGTGTGTATGAGCAGGGTGGGAGCTGCTGACCTTAGGTACTCATCAGCAACTTTCTGACAATGATGGTGGGCAAGATACAGGTCAAGTAGAACCAAGCAGCCTGATTTTAGTTGCTTAGGCAAGAGATGGCTTCACCCTTGGGCTTTTCCCCCTCAGTATTTATGACCAATCTCAGCCTCACTGCCCACATCTCTGAAGTCTGCACTGGCCCTCTAGCTTTCTACCCAAGGAGTGGCCCACCATGAGAAAGTGGGCTAGTTAGCACCCAGATCAGAATTTACAGTATAATTTAGATCAGTATTGCCTTAGTCACAATGGGCTCCACCCCCTTTATACCATCACCAGGTTATTACAACCTCAGCACTGGCAAGTGGAGGCAGGAGGATCAGGGGTTTAGAGTCATCTTTGAATGCACAAGAGAGCTCCAGGCCAGCCTGACTCCATGAGACCCTGTCTTTTCTGGTCTTTGCTTTTCTAATTCATTATCATCAGAAGGTGTTATTGTTTTTCTTAATGTTAGGGCTCTGGCCCAGGTTCTTGTGCACTCTAGAGCATGAGTCTGCTCAAATAACCAACCAAGCTGCACCCATCCCTCCAAATTCTCAGAATTTATAACAGAGTTTTAGGGATGCATGAAGTAGTCATTTTAGAAAGACTTTTAGCAAATATTCCATTCTTTATGATAGAGCCAAAGCAGAATCTTTTAAAAGATCTTCTTGGCTCCCTGGATTGTTCAGGCAATCAAGATGGGAGAGGATTACCTAACTGCTTCTGCTTTTCTATCCAAACCCTCCTCCTGTCTAACTTCAAGTCCAACCCCTCTTCCTCCCTCTGTCATATCAACCCCTCTCCCTCCCTCCGTCCTCCTCTCCCTCCCTCCCTCCCTCCCTCCCTCCCTCCATCACTCCCTCCCTCCATCACATCAGCCCCTCCTGCTGTCACCCACTATCAACACTTTCAGGTGCAGGTACAGGTGGGTGATGTTCAGCATCTGGATTTCCTTCAGGTGTGAGAGAAAGGCTGACTGCCCATCAGACCATCATGGTCAGGGGGAGGGTTTTATGAGAGCTTAAGGACTTGCCTAAACTTTACATTGGGTATCCCTCTCTTGAGAGCAGAGGCTTGCATGGGGACCAACCATTTTCTTGTGGTTCTAGAGTAGACAAAGACACCAGGAATCCCCAGAATGGTGGTTGTCTGTCACTCACCTGGTCATTCTGATTCTCCTAAATTTATTGGAAACTCAAGAAGTGAGTTTTGAAGATACTGTCCAAAGCCTGAAGAGATGATGTCTTTGTGTGCCTTCATGGTGTAGGCACATTCCTTCTACAGACTAATTGAACACCAGCTGTCAAGGCAAAGGATTTTTGCAGCATTTTTTCCCAGTGGGGTTTTAGGAAACCTTTACAATGAGAGGAAATTGGCTGCTGCTACTAAGGTTAGGGACAATCATAGACAGGAACGGAGACATTTGTAACTTGAACAGTGTTAGTTTGAAAGACAAAGGCCCACAAGCCTTCAGAGTTTATCCAGTAACATTTACAAAGTATTCATTATGAATTTTCAGGTTATTTTGGAATGGTACCAACTTCCATTATAGGAGATTGGAGGAGAAAAGTCTCGCTGACACAGCTTTGGCTAACTCTGTTACTTGGTGTCCAGCTGAGGAGCATTGAGCCATTTCCTTCAGATAATGACAGTCAGTTCTGCACACCAATTAACATGAAACTGAGACTGCTTCTCCACCATTTTCCTTGATTAATAATCTCAAGCTCTTGCCCCTCTCAGCCAGCTGCTCAATTAAAATTGCAGTAGCTTGCAATCAGCTCCTTGCTGGTATTATAGTATAATGTTTGTGTAAGTTAAAACTTTATTAAACTAGAAACTTCTAAGAAAGATGGTTTTTAATGAATGGAAAGATGAGCTACCGAATAAATATGTTTTGTACACAGATCTGTTAAGAGACATCAAAGAAATTTAAAAACTCAATAGTAAGCAAGTCAGGGAACTAATCCAGAAGAGAACAAATACCGGGGATATGGCTCAGTCATGAGAGCACTGCCTGCTCTAACAGGACCTGGGTTCAGTCCCCAGTATCCACTTGCTAGCCACAACTATCTGTAACTCTAGTTCCAGGGGATCCAGTGCCCTCTTCTGACCTCCACGAGTACTGCATGCATGTGGTGCACATACATACATGCAGGCAAATACTCAAACACATAAAGTAAAAATAAGTCTTTTTAAAAAAATGGATAAATAACAGTACACCTTTAAGGAAAAATGAGCTAATAAATACACACAAAAAAGATACTCAACACCATTAAAATTTGATTTCAAGGTAATTTTCCTTTTAAAGAAAGAGGAACATCTGGAGTCTATGCCAGCTGTGACAGGAGTCCTTACACATAGCAGTGATTATTACTGA